CGAGCACGGGAAGTGGCATCGACCTCGAGAGCTAATCCCCAGAGTGACCAGGAGGGGGCACCAGACAAGCGGCGAGTGGAGCACCCCGTGACAATCAACACCAGCAATGACAGCTGCCAAGCAGAACTGGGCTGTGTCCCGCTGGCCACCCACGCACAGACCTGCACTTCCAAGCCCTGGTGCTCCCTCACCCCAAGCAGCAAACGCTTTGTTCTCCAGGAGCCGTAATTAGCTCCAGGTGACAAACTGAAATGACGACGTGATGGAACATCCCTGACTGGCAGCTGCACAGTACAGAACTCAAACGGGCTGACTCCATGGGTGCCGAGCAGGCAACCCACCCAAACCCACAGGGAATCCATAACACTTGGCCAACCTCTAAGGCTTGGTCTAGACAGAGGATTTGCGTCAGTTGCTGCCATGGAGACAGCTACGCCGTCTCACCCGGGGCAGAGCTCACTCACCCCTGCTTGTTGCTGCAGAGGTAAACTGCGGGTTGGTGGCTGGCCCTGAGTGCGTGCCATGTGACTGAAGGAAACGCAAAGCGAAGCCAATTCCACCCCAGCCCAGCCCAAGAGCCCCCGTGCATCAGCTGCCCCCTGGTGGCTGGGTACAGTAAACACGCATGCACACATCTAATAACCACACTCGCAGTACGTTACGGCATCCGCCACTCTCAGCAGGAGCCCGGCTCAGCGGGATGTCACCTCCCCACGCTGAGCTGGGCTTAGGTTGAATCTTGGCCGATTCTGTGCAACTCAGCCCGCAATTTATGTCCTCCCTGAGTCCTCCCTCAGGTCCCGTCCCAGTGCAATGGGCCCCTCTGTCTAGAGCTCAGGAAGGATGGTCTCCATGTGCAGGCACTGAACAGAGACTCTGAGGATCTAAGCTGACTCCCTGCAGACTCCTTGTGTGACCTTGGCCATGGCCTTTTGTCTCCTAGTGCCTCAGTTCCCCTGTGTCACATGGGGACCACAGCACTGCCCTCCCGCACAGGAGCATTGGGGCCATAAATCCAGTAACAAGGGTGAGGAGCTCTGAGCTATGGTGGCCGGGCCATATAAGTACCGGGAGAGAGATGGAAGGTCCACAGCTGATTACAGAGAGCCCAGGCTGGTGGATTTCTGCCCAGTCAGCACTGGCTGATGGCATTAAGCTAGCACTGTCCTTGCATGCCCTCAATGGAGCCCTGACCTGGGCTGCACTGAGGGCAGGAGCTGCCCAAATGGGCCTCACAAGGCCAGGTGTAGGTCACCTGACCAGCCTGGAGCCCAGAGGGAGAGAAAAAATTAACGTCTAACTTATCCTTGGACTTCAGACAGGGCGCAGCCCTCCTGTCCCCACACAAACAAAGACAAACAAAGACAGCGCCCTGGCTTGCAGGCATCCTCTGGGAAGGGAGCCAGGAGACTGGGTTGGATGAATGGGGATTTCCAGGCACCCTTCCCCCCCAGACAGTACCCACAGCCCAGCTGAGAGGGGAGAGGGCCCAGTGCATGGCACTGCCGTGGAACGCTGGCCCCGGGCATCGGGGCAAACCGCACCTCTAAGGGAGAGGGGCCTTGGTCCTTTGTGTGCCCTGGGATTTGAACCGTGGTTGCAGGGTGCCCTGATGGTCCTTAAACCCTCCCGAAGGTCCAACCCCTGTGTCCCCAGGGTGACTCTCAGCCCTGATTGGCAGAGGCTCAGGGGAGTTTCCCAACACGCCTCTCCCGGCCCGGGGCAGTGAGGGCCATCCAGCCAGGGCTGGTCCTGGGGGGAGAGGCACAGGTGGGTTCCCCGGGGGCTGCGCCTGGAGACCCGCCCCGGGACGTGTCCGCCCATATCCCAGCGAGGGGGATCCGGGTCCCTGCCCGGGGTCTCTCCGCTGAGCGCCCCGCGGGGCCGGGCAGTGCCCTCCGCAGCCCCCACCTGCTGCCCATGTCCCGGCTCTGTCCCCGCAGCGCCCAGCCCCATGGACCAGACCGGCCTCGGCTCGGGCAACAGCTTCCCGGCGCTGATCCGCAAGAAGCGGGACGGGGAGAAGCTGCGGGATGAGGAGATTCGCCACTTCGTCCGGGCCGTGACCCGTGGGGGGCTCCAGGAGGGGCAAATGGGTGAGATGGGCCGGGCACCCAGAGCCCACCCGGGGTACCTTGGTGGGGGCGGGTCCCAGGAGGGATGGGGGAACAGGGGTTAGGTCCTGGGGAGATGGGGGGACCCAGGGGGCAGGCAGGTCCCTGGCGGGATGGAGAACGGGTTAGGTCCTGGGGAGATGGGGGATCCAGGGGGCAGGCGGGTCCCTGGCGGGATGGGGAATGGGTTAGGTCCTGGGGAGATGGGGGACCCAGGGGACAGCACACCTGGTGGTGACCTTGCTTGTCCCAGTTCCCGGGGAGGTGAGGACCTCTGAGGATCTCTGCTCTTGTTGTACTTAAAATACTGCACAGGATCTTTTCAGGGGGAATAAGACAAAACGCCACATTTATTAGTAATACATGTATTCATTAACACTGTATCATATGCATATAATATATTACACTTACACTCACACACACACACAAACACACTCCGTCTTGTTGTT